CCCCCCCCCCCCTGCCTGTCTCGCCGCCTGCTTTTCTCCCCGGCCAGCACGGCCCCGCATCACTCTCTCGGCGGCAGCGGCTCCTTCCGACGGGCCCCCCACATGGAAGATCGGTAAGCGAGTTTTGCCCATTGGGGCTGACACTATGCCTCCGCATTAGCGATCCCGGAAAAGGGATCGCTATGTGGATTCGTCGTTATACGGTGCGCTCGTAATGCGAGGCACCACTGGTACTTGTCTGTTTGACAGGTCACCTCTTTCTTTGTAAATATATCTCCTTTTTCCTCCTCCTGCCCTGGTGATAAGGATAGGGTCCCATCTCTTTCTCCCTAAATGGGTATCCTCCAGTCCCCCACACTGACATTACTGTATTATGTAGGCTTCCACTTGGGTCCCACTTTCCCAGGAGTAGCAACTCACAGTTTTTCCCTCCTTGGGCTCTTGGCACAGGAAGCCCAGTGAGAGTTTCTTCAGGTTAAAGGGCAGAATGTGAGGGCTGTGGGTCAGAGGATGATGACTTACCAACAGGGGCATTTGTGTCCCTGTTCTGATCACACACTATAAATTGACAAGCTTGTCCCTGTATATCCAGCAGATCTGAAGAGCAGCTCTGATGTTGGCCATCCCAGCTAAAGCAAGTAACCATTCATAGTTCAATAAATTTCTAGAACCCTTTCCATTGCAAACACCACACGGAAAGCTGCTTTTCCTGTTTATTGTGCAGGAAGTTAGAGAGAATTAATTTAACCCCACTACATATTACAGCATGTTCTCAAGCAAGCAAGTGAATTCTTAGCATGCACGTTTTGTATGTGCAGGCACAAATACTTCAGAACAAAATGGCTTCCATTCTATCAACAGGTCCACCACCCATGAGGATTCAATTGCCAGAATATTATTTCCTGATATTGTGCAAGCGTCAGTGGTTCTGAGGGAAGGATTGATTATTTCTTCCTTTGTTGAAATAATGACAGGCTCCTTTCGGAAGCAGCTTGTTGATTTTCTTTCATCTGAGGGGGGATGAGGTGTGAAGTGCCACTTTGCAGTTGGAAGGCTGGTCTTTACCCAAAACAATGTAACTTACTCTTTTTTTTTCTGAGGCCACCTTGCTTTGAAACTCCTCAAAATTTCTTAAGCAGAATTCCATCTACAAAACACTTTCAGCTTTCATGGGGCTTAAGAGTAAAACTCAGCTGAACTGAGTAGCTCCAGCAAAGTTAGCATGTGAAGAAGATACAGTACATTGCAACAGTGGCCCTTGGGGCCTCACGGGATAAAAGAGTGTAATATATCTGTAAATATGAAAATATTTTGAAAATACAAATAACATAAGGAATGGTGGTTTATTAGTTATGTGATTGGAACTGTATAGTGCAGGGGTATATATGGGTGTGGTGGTAGCAACTATAAAACAAGGCAAGAGAAAAGGACAACAGGATGTTGATTGCCCCAGCAGTAGCTGGGATCTTCATTTCTGAACAAAATGCTTGGGTGAACTAGGCTTAACTTGGCCGCAGAGTTTCAAACTTGGGCCTTTTCAACAGGTGAGTCACATTTAGGCGTCTGTCAAGTGGAACTTCAAGAATGGAGAATTATGGGCTTTGTAATCTTAAATTTTAAATTTTACCTTCTTGGGCTCCATAATCACATTTCTGAACAGGACTTCCTTAGTGATCAATTTTCTCCAAGGCACTTGCATGAAGCTTTCAATTTCTTCTTCAGCATCTGCTATTCAAGCACAAAATTGAATCATGGTTACGCTAAGGTTTTCCCTGAAATCTGACTGATATTGTTAGGTAAGGCTTTGCATTATACTCCTAACTGCTTGTGCTATTTCAGCAGGCATGGAACTTTTCTTATGCCTCTTTTCACATTGGCAGTTAGCTGCCCTTTCACATTTAATCCAGTTGCTTCATTAGTTGACAGCATTACGTATTAGCATTTATCGACTGTTCACTCCCACAGCTGGTTGAGTGCTTTGCAATCTGAGAGTCCCTGCTTTTAGCACTATCCCTTGTTTCTTTTTGGATTGTTTCATCATAGGTTTTCAAGGTAAGGAAGATTCACACTGGTTTACTATTGCTTTCTTCTGCATAGTACTAACAAAAGTGTCACTTCCATTATCTGTGAATGATCCTCTACCAGTGTCACCTTCAACTACTACTACTACTTCTGCCCAGTAGCTGCCATTCAGGAGTTTCTCTGCCCCTCATCACTGTTGAAACTGTCCATTCTCTTCTACTGACACAACTATCACTCCTGAAGATGTTGGATGCATTTTAGTCTGGTGTTTCAGCTTTGACCATTCTGCCATAGGTTGACTCTGCTAGGGGTCTGGATACAGAAATGGGTCCTGTGTTCTGATGGTATTACTCTCAGTTTCTTTGACACACTTAAACATCCTCAGCAAGCGGAGTGTGCATCCAGGATTTACAAAAATACAAATGATAAAACCAAAACCTACTTTCCTTGTCATTTGGGATTGGTAAGAAAATGTCAGAAAACATGAACAATTCCGATTGTGTCTGTAAAAATGTTAACTGTCCTTAAATGATAACCTTTTAAAGTAATTAGAAAATGCTAATCATTTTGTTTTTATTGCTAACATTGTAACAACTTGTGGTGTTGTTTGTTACACAAAAAATAACCAGCTACAGATAGCTATGTTACTTGTAACTTATATGTACTGGGTGTTTATAGTGATCCTTTGATAGGCAAAACAAAACAACCCACAAACAAACCAATTACTTAAAATTCTTCAAGTTAGTAAAATAGAATATATAGAGGCAGTTTCTTCTCATTTTCACCTTAGGCTACGTTAGCAACTGAGCATTTCAGGTAGAATTAGCATGCTTCCAGTCATATTTTACAAGAGCTTCATATTAGGTCGCTGGGTTTTTTAAGACCCATCTAAAAACATGGATGTACTATATAAGCAGGCCTTCCCTCCAGATAACAATTAATTTTTTCCTTCTTTATCTATTCTTTGTTATTCTTTGCCATCTTGAAAAATTTGCTTATTGTTTTTAAAAAATGCTTATTGTTTTTCTTTATTGTTAATTGTTTAATTGTTTATTTTTGCATATTTTTATTTTTTGTTATATGTATTTGTATCTGTATTTTTATCTGTCTGGAAGCCGCCTAGAGTGGTCGTTTTGACCAGATAGGCGGGGTACAGGTAGAATAAATAAATAAAATAAATAGGTCATAATTCAGTTTTTTTTTCAGTTTCCAGTTCAACAGCATCTCATTCCCTGAGATTAAAAGAGGAAAGCTTGAGATCTAGGAGTAAGGCCTTCTTTCTGATGTGACTGAGCAATGGTTGCAAAATACTGACTTGAATCCTGTTGACACAGGTCCATGACATCATCAGCCACCGCCTTTTATCTTTAATTAACAGCTTCCTGTTCTACTCCTCAGGTTCCAAAACTCCTTGGAAATGCCTTTCTCTCTGGGGAAACTTATGGGTGCCTCAGGTAGGCCGGGAAAGCCTTTAATCTCTGAAAAGCACTGAGGCAGCTAATGATGTTACCAGCCTTGTACATGCAGGGATAGAATAAATAAATAAAATAATGATGTTACCAGCCTTGTACATGCAGGATTCTGGCCACTGTGTGTTTGACAAGGCTGACAATGTGAATTTGAAGGCTAATAACATTTGTATTGTAGCAGCTCTAGAGGATACAAGATAAAAGAAAAGTATGCTTAAGACCTGAATGGACCCTAAAAGCTGAGACTTACGGCCAAAAGTGAGACTTTGAGGTCCGTGTGTGTGTGGTTGTGTGTACGTGTATTTGTATCTTTTTTCTATCCTTTGTGTTGCCTATCATAATTCTAACACTTTCATTTTGACTGTTGTAATGTGCACTGTCTTATAAGCGCACGCGCACACACAAACACACACCAGGTTTTCTTTATTGTTGATTTTTTTAATTAGAGCTAAAATGCTTTTCTCATTTAAATTCTAAAATATACAGTATTTTAATGAAATATAGTTAAGGATATGGTACATTATAATGCTAATTGTTTTTAACAAGGAATAATAGGGCTAAAATGCCATTCTGGCTATACTTGTTAATGATATGCTACTGAAATACTGTACTGCTTAAAAGGATTTTATGCTAATTGTTTTTGAAAGGGAAAAATAGCCTTTCTGGTTAGTGCAATTTTCATAATGTGGTTTTTTTTTCAATTAATTAAACACTTCTAGTCTGCACTTCCAGCAAAACAAATGTTAAACACTCCATTTCTTATTTAATCCTAAATACATAAATTTTCTTAACAACTGCTTGAAACAGCAATGATTTATTACTATTAGGAATCCCCCATTTGGAAAAGCTGGTTAGCCCTAGAAAAAGCAGATCAAGGGAAAGGAAATCACACAGGCTTGTACCTTGATTAAAAGGAAATCCTCCAGGTAAATAAGTAAGGATTTGTGTACATTTAGCATTTCTACAGATTTAATTCAGATTAAATCATTAAAACATAAAAGTGCATACAGCAATCAAGATATAAGTTAAAAGAAAGAGAGCCTGTTGTACAGCTAAGCTAACAAGATACAGTGACAGGATATTATTCTGTTTTTTGGCCACTCCAAACATTGAAGATGTATTGAGGATGGAGCAGAATTAAGGTACTTTTCATCAGATCTATTCTGCAGTGTTACTGCAAATATTTAAAGTTTCTTACATGTTTAAATAAATCATAATCTATATGTGCCCTTTTCCTTCGTGTCATCCTTAACAATTGCAATGGGGGAAATGTGCTATTTATGTAAATTGAAAAACCCTCAACGGAGATTTGATCCTGTTGTGGAAGTGCCACCATGATTCATAGAACGCATGCACCCAGCACTATTAAATGTTATATGTATTGTAGAAGGAATTCATATGGGAGGAGTAATAGCTCAGAGCTAAAGAATATGCTTTCCAAGGAAGAGGTCCTGGGTTGGAAAAACCAGGGGCTTTCATAGCTGTGAGCCAGATGAGTGAATGGTCTTATTCAGTATGAAAAACATAAGACTCTATGGAAGCAGTCATGCAATTGGGCATGAATTTCCAAAGCGTACAATCAAATTAAGAATAAACACTGTTATATCTCATTGCTTTTGATAGGGAAAGCTAAGCACATCCTTAAACCTTCTATTGAAATCATTCCATTCTGGACTTAGGCTCAGAAAGTGGTTCCAGGGACAGGAGCTACTGCAATCTTAAATTTATGTTGCTTAATTCACCCTTTTCACATTGTATTTCAGGCTTCCGTGCAGAAGGAACTGTTAGTATGGTCCTGATACGCCATTCATCGGAATGACTAAGCCACAAAACTGTTTGGCCGTTAGCTGTCAGAACTGATGAACTACACCACTAGCGACAATGGGAGAGAACAGAACTAGTGCTTCCCAAGGTGTGTAATGCTTTCAATGCCAGTTAAAACAAGAGCCTAGCACCTCTTAAGGTACAGAGCTTGACTTAAAGGGACATGGGGTGACTTATCAAAATCTCACACACTTCCTCCACTGCCGCTAAGATGCTGCTCAACGCATCAAGTAGGAATTATCTCAGCTTAAATGTAACAACCGTGGTTTAAAGCTCACCCTTGTTATATCTGCTGCTATACTAAACCAAATGAGCAAACAAAGATTAAAGATTAAAAAAAAACAGAAAACAAAACTGGCAACTCCAAGCCATACACATTATAGCACAAAAACTGAAAGTAGCTATCTGGGAGGAAAGGAAACACTCTAAATTTCTATTAAGGTAAAGTTTTTATTAGACCATCTCAAAGGTCACAATCATACTTGGTTCTAGTTAAAACTCTCAGTGTTGTGCTTTGCTTTGCACAGCTCAAGTTTCTAGACCGTTAAGGCAGCTCCATAGACAATTTATTTTATTTAGTTAGTTAAAATATTTTTACCCCACCTTTCTTCTTAAAAGGACCCAAGGTAGCTTACATCATTAAAAAGACAATATTTAAAAACTAAAAACAATAAGTATACAAATATTAAACAAGAATTCAACAATTACGTATATTTAAAAGGTAAATAAAATCAACACTAAAAACACATTTAAAGGCAACAGAACAATCCATTTTTAAAAAGCCCATCTAAGACCATCAATCACTAAGGAAAAGGCTGCCTGAAGTGAAAGGTCTTTGCCTGCTTATGGAAGGACAGCAAAGATGGGGCCAGCCTGGCTTCTTGTGGGGGAGAGTTGCAGAGCCTGGGAGCAGCTGCAGAGAAGGCCACCTCCTGTGTCCCCACAAAGCATACCTGTGAGGGTGGTGGGACTGAGAGAAAGGCCTCCCCTGATTGTCTTAACGCTCAGGCAGCCTCATAGGACGTGCACTCTTTTGGATAGTTTGGACCCAAGCCATTTAGGGTTTTATAGGTACAATGTATTATTGTACATGTTATACAATGAATAATCTCCCATGAAAGCTGAGCCCCAGCGGGAATGGTGACAAATGGTGTTTGATCTCCTGCCCAGCCACTGAATATGGTTTGTTTCTCTTACCCCCTGGTCTCTGATATCATGTTACCTGGTTAGCCCACTTTTACATTGATACTGGGCCCATTTGCCTGAATTCCTTTCATGTGTATTTCTGCAGCCAGCTGGCCTAGATGTTCTGACCCATCTCTCAGTCCTTGTTTTCTCTTATCCTAAGGCATTACAAAGGACCATCCACTGATATCAAAGGACCCATCCATTGGTTGTGGCCCTGGAAAATGAGATTGTGTTGGATCTTATTCAACTCTGTAGCTCTGATGTTCAGACCAAATCGTTCTGAGCATCCCTTCAAAGTCTGGTTATCTGCTTCATTATCAAACTGGGTCATTGATAGTCTGTTAAAACTTGGGACAAAATCAGAGGGGAGGGACTATGTTCCAAAACTTCCTTTCCTTTTGAATACATCTGGAATACTTATTCTGGAACAAAGCTTAAAATGCATAAAAGCAAAATCTGTTCATTTTAAAAAACTTTAATGTGTGAATCTTGCTTCAAATTGCAGGGAAATAATTTAAATTAATTAAGCTTCCCCCCCCCTCCCCTGGCCTCATTTCTAAAGAAATGAGGAAAAAATGAAATTATTTGCAAATCCTATTAGGAAATAGAATCAAATTTGCCTGTTGTGTAAACTAGATAATGGTAATATGGTAGAAGAAATAAATAGCCAGCATTCATTGCACTATACAGTGGTGCCTCGCTTAATGATTGCCTTGTTAAATGACGAAACCGCTATATGATGACTGTTTTGCAATCGCTTTTACGATCGCAAAGTGATGTTTTAATAGGCAAAATTTGCTCCCTGACAATTAGTTCCCTGCTTTGGGAACTGATTTTTCGCTAGACAACGTTTTTAAAACAGCTGATCGGTGGCTTCAAAATGACCACCCGCTGTGTAAAATGGCTCCCCGCTGTGTTTTTCGATGGATTCCTCACTTTACAGGCCCCTGAAAATGGCCGACCCTATGGAGGATCTTTGCTGGACGGTGAGTTATTCAGCCCATTGGAACACATTGAACGGGTTTTCAATGTGTTTCGATGGGATTTTTTTTATTTTGCTTAACGAGGATTTCGCTCTACAGCAATTTCGCTGGAACAGATTATCCTCATTAAGCAAGGCACCACTGTACATAATGGGTCTTTAATAGTGATGTATGAAACCCACATCCATTCAAGAAGCAGTATAGTTAATATGCTCCAGCATTTTCTGTCTTAATGCTGTAGGTGCTCCTAAGTAATCTTAAGGTCAACAGTTACCTGACAAGATATTCAAACTCATGTAATAAACAAAGGATGATCTAGGACAGCTATTCTCAACAGGGAGACTCTGGCACATTTGAAGGGGGGCACTGACTAGGAACAATTCTTCACACACCAATTTACAGATTTGTTATGCAATGTATATAATCCCGATTCAGCCTCTATTTCTTTCATATTGTGTTTATGACACAATATGAAAAAAAAAAGGTTGAGAACGGCTGATCTACAGCATAGACAGCCCATAACTGGGCTAGTTCTCCCAAATGTGGGTGTTAGGTATCCTCCCCATCTCCATCCACAAGCCAACTCATTTTACAGTGCATGGAACCCTCCGAAGGTTGCTACAGAATTTACAAGCAAATCCTTGTCATCTTTCAGCATGAAAGTTATCAACCAGGGCCACCAAAGCTGTGTTAGTCTCCTAGCTGGATTATATTGATGTTCCTGAAAATAGAACCATCTAAACGTGACTGAGCAATGTCTGCATAATCATGTCTTTTAAAGGGAAATCCTCTTCTGGTGGTTTCTTGCCTTTCTTCCAGAAAAGCGAGAACTCTACCCAACAGTCCACCAAAATTTTATCTGTTGGCTTCACCTAACCATGATGGTTAGAGATCTAATATAGATAGGCTTCACGTTCTGAAGCAATCCGGCAATATTCCCAAAAGAAACTACAGTGGGGTCTTGACTTAAGAACGGCTTGAGTTAAGAACATTTTGACTTAAGAACCGCTCTCATAGGAAAATATTGACTTGACTTAATTACTTAGATTTGAGTTAAGAACTAAAAAAACCCATGTGGGAGGCAGGGAAAGTGCAAAATGTGAACTTTCAGTTAACTGTTGGCCAGTGAAAAGGGTGCCGGTCTGCTTCCTCACTCCTCCCAGCGTTTAGAGAGTGGATTGGGAGACAGTCTTCAGACTGCCTGGTACTGCCTGGACTGTATTTTCCCTGCCTTCCCTGAACCTTTCTTGACCTAAGAAAAAAAGAAACAAAATATCCCCCTCTAGTGGTCGAAGGCGGAATAGCAGCTTCCCATTAGTTTCTATGGACGGAAAAGAGCAAATACAGATCAAATGGTTTTCAATGCATTCCTGTGGGAAATGCAGATTTGACCTGAGAACTTTTTGACTTGAGAACCGCCTTCCAATACGGATTAAGTTCTCAAGTCAAGACCCCACTGTATCCCAGTTCACTTTCATTTAATGCAGACAGGACTGATGTGTCACATGACTAGCAGCAATATAGACTCAAAAGAAGACTCTAATTAATGGTGCTATGGTAGAACATAATACCTCTGGGAGACCGTGTCAGTCCAACCTGGAAAAAACAGACTTGTAGAATAATGAAAGGGCTGTAGATGGTCAGTTATCTATTTTTACTGCTAGAGATGTAGAGATATTTTGGTACTATGTGCCGTTGACTGTTTGCTGTTTCAATTTTGGGAGCAAGCTGTCTTGGTCCAACCAACTGGGAGAAGATGAATATCTGAAAGACACCCCAGAAACTAGTCCATTCCAGACTTCACTGGATGATAGCACCTTACTGTGTGGTTTTTTAAATTTAAAACTACTACTACTTTCTCAGAACACCTCCTGTGATATGGCCTACTCACAATTAACAAAACACTACTTAATTTGTAAAAGTAGAATTGCCAGGGCTCAAACTCTCTAGAAACGGCCCTCTCATATAAATTCTTTGTGAATCAGGCAAGGTGCACGTGCACTATCATTTGCCACTTCTTCACATGTTTGCGCTGTAACCCATGCGCTGAAAATTGATTCTGGGGCTTCATCTGGGTGAGCTGCAATCCATTTTAAGCTTAGCATCAAGCTACGCCTGTGCTTCTTTGGCTGCATGTCTCGGAATGCCTCTGTCTTCTGTCAAGCATGCAGAGACAGCTCTATTAGGTGCTCCAATTAAATGTGCCACTGAGAGTTGTTAAAACCAGTGTGTGAACAAAATCCTTGGCTGTTTTCCATACTGTGCCCACAGCTGGAGCAAGATTACAGTTTTCCATGGGTCTAATCTGGCATTAAGTGAGGGGCGGTGTTAATCCTTCATTGTTTTGAATAATCAAGCACCTCCTGGAGGGGGGGGGGGCTTTCAAAGGCACATTCAGAATTTATAAAACAACGCTTCAGGACCAGAGAGTGGGAAAATATCACCAGAATCCCAGCAACAGTAAACATTCCACTGGTCTGTTTTCCACAGGGGTTAGCAGCATCACAGTTGGTTGGGAAGCCTCTGATTTGTTCCGCTATGCCTGCTTCTTTGAAGAAACCTCGGTGTCCCGTTCTGTTTATAATGGGGGCTAAAATACAATATTTCAGAGAGGGCGTGATGACAACACTCCAAAAGAATGCATGGAAAGATTTTTAAAGGCCACGTGTACATTTCAGCTGCTTAGACTTAGAGGCAGCGCTACTCCTGTCTTTTGCAAGTTCCAGTCCATTTCAATGGAGGGCTGGGGAAAATGGACGTTTGTTCTTTCTTTATTCTGGTAATTGCTTCAGGTCTGTCACCCAGAGGCAAATAAAAAAGAAGCCCGTAAATAGACACCCTGTTAAGTTTAATGTACTTAAATTCATATGAATATGCCTGAGAAATCATAGACTACACCTCGCATCACCCCCCCCAATCAGCCCAGGAGGAGTGGGGAGATTGAGAACTGTAATCCAGCACACCTGGTAGAGACCAGGTGTGAGCAATGGGAATTGTGATTCAATGCAGCTGAAGGACCCAAAACGGGGAAGACTGTTTTGGAGTGCCACTGTATTTATGTAATGTCCTAGCTCAGCCTGTTGGGATTCATCACCACTCCTCACAAACTGAGTGTGCACCAGAGAATGTAGCCAGTGCTTTCCTGTGGTTGTGCATTTTGTGTGATAATTGGTATTGGGGTTCAAGCAGTTCTACAGAAATGGTTCCTCACTATTGCTCAGCATCGAACTGAAGAAACTGATAAACTACACATAATTTCTGAGTCTCTGTGGAAATGGTTTAAAAACTATAAGTAGAGGGGCATCACTCATTGCTGTTTTATGGCATACTTTACAAAAAGCTGGAATCTGGCTATTCAGTAAAAATATGATTAAATGCAATTCCTTTCTGAGTCAAGATAATTCAAACTAGTAACCTTGTGTGTAGTTTTTACAGTAGAGTAACATCATTATCTGAGGATAGAAGTAAACCATTTATTAGCCGTAAGAGTAGCAATAGCTGTGGCTAATAAAGTTCATATTCTTATCAAAATTAACCAGACTAATTGCTAGATCTATTGATAGAAGCTGTGAGATGAATATGGGGATATCTTGAAGTGTGTTTGGAAACTTCAGTTAGATCAAAATACAACAGCCAGATTGTTGACTGCAAGTTGCAGTAACAATCGCATTCCAAAAGTGCTTCTGATCTGACCATATGAGTGAAAATTGGGGTTCTTAACCTATAAAGCCTTAAATGACATGAGGCTGGAGTACACAAAAGACATACTGTCCCTTCATGAACCTGTTCAGAGGCTCAGATAATCTGCCCAAATGCTTCTCTGGGTTCAGAGAATTGCAGAGGTGAGGCAAAGATACTGTAGGTGTTTTTTTTTCTGTGACGAAAACATGGCTTTGGAACTCCCTCTCTGTTACAGCTTCACTTGATCCCGGATAATGGGCTTCTATAAGCTAAGGGTTGACCACTGTATTTAAAGAATGCCCAACTAGGAGGAACGCTGGTGTGGTGCGGAAGGACTCTTCTTAAGTTTTTACATAATTTATCTGGTTCCATCAGGACTGCCATTGAAACAGCAGGCTGTCATCATCCTATTTTCCAGAGTTTTTAACTACAACCATTTGAAGAACTTTCTGTATTATTCCTTTAGGTTTATTATGCACCACTACTGGTTCTATAGTTTTCTTTGTAGCGTGGTTCATTTTATGCGTTTTTACAGGAGTTATTATGATTTCCTGACCCTATTTGCATTGTTAGCCGCTGCAAGGATTAAAAAAAAAACATTGAAAGATAGAGAATATATGGGCAGCTCAAATTCAATAACCCGTGGCCCTCCACAGCAAACTCTTAATTCCAGCCAGCTCCGGTAACTCTGGCTAATGGTCAGGGATGATGGGAGTTGTAGTTCAAAACCATCTGAAAGGCAACATGTTGCCTTTCCTAAGATTACATTAGCATGAAAAGGTTACATTAGCATCAGGCCACCTGCTATAGAAATAACATGAGGAGGGGGCCAATATTAACAGTAGGAATTATTCTTTCCCTCTACACACAGGTGTGGAGAAACTCCAAAAAGACTTGAATTTTTCTCCTCCCTGCCTTCTGTTGGCACATCACTGCTGCTCTACGGATACTGAGACATGTGGGGACTGTATGTACAGAGCAGAGGCCCTCCTGCCTCCCAGCTTGCACCCTGGGTGTCTTTGGGGGGGGGATCCTAGATTTATTTCACATTTAATGTACATAGACAGGTTGTGCTGTGCTGTAGTGGTGTGCACACTGTCAGTGCAGATGATGGTAACAAGCCACTATGCGGCTTTGCCCCTTCCCGGTGCAGAGAAAAATGTAGACACTTTGCTATGCAGCATCCTGACCCTTGAGGATGGAGGGAAACCCAGCCAGGAGTGGGCTGCTGGATACTGCAAGGGGAAATGCAGGATGATAAAGGGACTCTGTAGTCTTCCCCTTTTTTGTGGAAAGCAGCTCGGGGGAGGGAACTGGGAGAAATGGACTAAATTGCCTGCCCTATGTGCCTCACTCTTACTCTGACTTGCAGCCTGTCCAAGCATCTTTGGTTGAAATAAAAGCAAATAAAGGAAACATTTAAACATAACATGCAGTTTGAGCTCGAGACAAAAAGAGCTATCCATTTCCAAATGACAGCCCCATACCAGGTAACTGGTCATGCCAACCCATTGCCTTCAAGGTTTTTGCTCTGCATTGCTGTCTGTTTGTTTTTCTGGTTCAGTGATAAACTCTTTGCTCTCTGGCCTTGCTGTGCTAATAGGGAAAACTTTCCATGACTTAACTGTCAGAGAACAGAGACAGGCAGGCCTGGCTGGGACAGCTTTTCCAATCCCACTTTGGATCCTGATGAAAAGAGGGCTGTGCAGTAACTTGTCAACATTCCATACATCCCGTCCATCATCAAGGAAGTCTCGGGTTGTTTTGTTCAGCTGCAGAAGTTGCACTGGGGTGGACAAACAACTGTGATGCAAGACGTAAAGGAGAGACAATATGTTCTAACTTTTCTCTAGGACTAGGACACTTCCATCATAATTTAGGACACTTTCAAGAATGTGTGTTCCCTTCCCCGACTTGGTATGCAGTCCTAACTTGTCCAAAGGAGGGGTGAGCAAAGAACAGTCTGCCTGAGGTTGTCAGGTTGCAGCTCCCATGAGCCTTTCCCAGCAAAGCCAATGGTGAGCTTTGCTGGGAGCTGCAGTCCAACAACATTTACATTTTGCCGCTCCTTCTCTTTTTTAAAGCTTCTACCTTAACAGCAGACTTTGTAAACAAAAGGGAAAAAATGTTCTCTCCTGCCTCTGAATTCAAAGAGAACCCCACCTCTTTGCTCAGCCCTTTGCCCCTTTCTTGAGTTTGCTGAAATCTGTTGTTAAAAGTGCTCATGTTGTTAATGTGCTGTTTGATTTGTTCACAAGTGTAAGTAAAGAAAAGAGTTTTACTTATTTCTGTTTGGTGCCACTCTGTGAATGGAAGGGAGCAGAAGAGGTATCCTGTAGACCATCTTGACTACTACTTCTACTTCTCTGAGTTAGTTATTGAGACTGTAAGTGCCAGTTAATGAGAAAAAGGGTGGACTACTGTAGAGAATGTGAAGCTACCCTGCTTTGTGAATACTTGCATTTCTACTGTGCAGCTAGAGGAATTTAACTAAATTTCAAAACCATTCAAACAATTTTAAAGTTCTTATCTAAGCATACAACTGTTGAACTGGATTGCTCTAAGTATTAAATCTTGGCCAAAGGTTTCCCTTTTTGTACCTTGCAAAAGTTGGAGAACAATTTCTTGCTGAATTCTACGGGTCCTTAGGTTAGTGGTCCAAGGTTTCAGTACAAGTTAGCAAGAGGCTTTTACCGTTATTACTTTCTAATCTCTGGCACTGCTTTTAAGAGCGCCTTGGTAGAATGCCCCTTCAAACTTAGCTACATCATGATTTTGTGTCAGTCCCTGAATGAAGAGATCAAAGCAGTGGCAAAGTTAGGATGTGTGAGGGAAGAAAGGTCCAACCCTTGCTTCTTGGAAGTTTTCATCTAAACAAATAAGCTTTCCACATGTGAGCTAAGTGATGGTGCAGGACATGTTTCTGAGTAAGGATGCAAAGAACTGGACAGCATAAGGGACAAACTGCTGGCCTAAACACGGTTTCATGAAAAGGCTGTATTCTCTACAAAAAGTACTGACAATTGAACAGGAAACCTAACAAGCTGAGTCTGGTATTAACATTGCTAGGTCTCAGGGGACCAGCTCAATTCACTTTAATTCCCTGAGCCTCTCAGGCAGTGGCGAACCTACATATTTGGGGCCCTGAAGCTTGAACTGTTATGAGAGCCCACTTCACAACCAACAACAAGATCTGGGTAACTACAGTTATCTTCTTCAATGATGTTATTGCATGACCCATCACAATTTTTCAAAAAGAAAACATGTGGGCTAAAGTTGTTTCTGGGGCCCCTCCAGGATTAGGGCCCCTGAAGTTTAAGGTTCATTCATTTCATAGTAAATCTGACCCTGCTCTTAAGGCAGGTGATGCCATGGAAGGAAGACATTCATCATTCTGTGTCAGGTGCTATAAGCCTTAACATCCATCTCCACCCATTCTCAGACAGCACCAGGGTTTCCTAGCTTAGAATGAATGTGTTTGGGTGCATGCTGTGTTTGCACAACATCAGCGCAGCAAAAGCCAGGAGCGAACATGCATTTGGATCCCTCATGACATTTGGAACAAAAACAGGGAGCAGAGCACTAGTATCATAACTCAGGTGACTTCTTGCTGCCTGGAAAACAAACAAACAAACAAAACCCTCCTGTATTCTATAGGTAAAGATATGAGCCCTAAGAGGAATAGTAGTCATTGCTGAAGCTCCTGGATGCACTTTGTTGCCTTCCTAGCCACCAGAAATGTGGGGTTTTTCCCTCTCTAACTTTGGGTTGCTATCCTAGCTGATTAGTTATTTTTCAAACTAGGCACTGATCCTGTTTACCTGAATTCCACATGTGCTAATTTCCAACATTGGCTGGCCCCAAAGCATTTCTGCCCCTGGGATTCTACCTCCTTGCGTGCCCCTGTTACCTTATAAGGGCCCATCCCCTGGTCCCAGTTCATGCCTTGGTGATACTATCTGGCTTTATGGAACATCCTTTACAAACAGTACTTATTAATTTATTTATTCTTTCCATTCCTGACGCAATCAGTTCAAACTGCAAACTGCAAAAATAGTCTGATTTAAGTCCTTGCTGGTTTGTTTTGTTTTTGTTTTGCTACGTTGCAACTAAAGGAAGTGTTTCCCAAATTGCTACTCTGCATATTGTTTTCCAATGCATGGTCTAAAGGTTGAAAGGCTTTTTCTTAAAATGTGCCGGAAAAGTCTTCAGTCACTAAGCTTCCAGCCTTGGCCTGCTTCTGTTAATGCTATAAAATATGCTGGGTTTTGTTTAGGAGGGGAGAAATCTATTTTATCTCACGCTGCTGGCAGACCATTGCTATGCAAGCCTCCCACAGAGTGATCTACAATTTCTCAGTATTTCAGCAATTCTTCATGGTTGTGCTAATTGGCAAGTAGCCGGCTGCCACATTTTAAAGCCTACAAAAAGCAAGGTTTCTTTTCTTTGTTATCTCCAAAGGCTTTCCATATAGCAGTCAAAATAATAAAAATTGTGTGATCTGTTTAGTCTAGACTCGGAAGTATCAGCTTCGTAAGCCTGTGGAGCCTGCATTCTTTGCTACTTTGCCACCATATTAACCAACTGGTAATCACCACGGAACAATAATAGCTGAACAAATCATTTACTTGGTTTGTTTTACAGCAAAAATGACAACAAGCAGTCAGCTGCACTAGCAAAACCTCCATTAGAATAAACAGGACTTATTAGGACTGTGGAATTGTTAGGACCGTGGAATTGTTAGGACCATGGAATAAGCACTCATATGCAGTCATTATTCAGTAGCAAAATCAGGATGAAAACATACGACCCAGATTCCAAGCCCACTGACATCTGAGCGTTCAGCCTGGAGGCAGGCGGTGCATCACGGCCTCTCCCAATTTGAAGAGAGCCTTGCCCAGCAGGCCGAGGCAAAGAGGAAGTCACAAAAGCAGCAAAACCAGGGAGCCGGACAGGGGACAGACTGGATTTGTCTTCAGTGTGGAAGGGACTGTCACTCTCGAATTGGCCTTCTCAGCCACACTAGGCGCTGTTCCAAGCCCTCCATACAGAGCACGCTACCATAGTCTTTCGAGACTGAAGGATGCCTAACTAAACTAACTAACAAGCCACCCATGCCTGCCCTGCCATGATTAAGTGCATGGACAGTATGGTCTGCCTCATTCACCTGTTGTTTTGGCCTAAAAACAATTGCACTGATCTAGGCAACTGAATGCTGATATTCCGAAGACAATCTATGTAGATTATCAGTTTAAGCATTCTGCAACCACCTCCTTTCATTTGAAAACATTTACCTAGCCCAGAAGGAATTCTCTCCCTCAAACATTTCTAGAATTTCCCTTAAAGTAATTTGAGACTTCCAGCCCCAGCCCGAAACTGCGAATGGAAAAGCTCTAAGTTGACCTAAGGCAAGCAACATCCTTCTAAACTTCAAGTCCACTGGTAACAGCCCTACTCACTCAGGTGGTTTCCCAGATTAAGTAATGATCCTAACTCTTCTTATAAAAAGCTCATGCAATGTACCACCTGATGCCATTTTACCCCATAAGGGAAGTGTCTTAAAACTACAGAAGAAGAGGACTTTGGTAACAATTTTGTTTGCCGCTTGTCTGTTTGCAGTCAAATAAGTGAGTGAATCAGTTTCTGGTTTTGTGTTTCCTTCTACTCTCCAACCCCCGGAAGACAATTTGGCAGACAAACAGGGCTCCCTGCTCCTTGTTTATATAGACAATTTGTTACTTAAAAGACTATTTATTTCATTGCTTGGAACATATCATAAGGCACATCACAGTTTATTCAACCAGAGGTCTGGGGCATGAGTTACCCATTTAAATGTTAGCCCAAATGCATCTAAATCACTGCTTTGTCTCATCCCCTCTCCACAGTCTCTGAACAAGCCTCCTCATCATCATCAGATGACATCATGGGAGAAAGAGTGTCTGGATTCCTTATATCTCAAGCATTTCCAGATGACAGTGACTATAGTTATGATGGTGACAGAACTTGGAAAAGTTGTGTTTTTAGAATACAACTCCCAAAATCCAAAGAGTTATAATCCTCCCCAAAGTAACTTTCCCAAGTTCTGTGTGATAATTTTTTTTTAAAGGGAGATCAAATTATTCTGAGGGAGTTCTCTCACATTATATTTTGTATAATACATGGTAAGGTAAAGAGGGAAACATTTGACATATGTGCAGATGGGCAAAGTTACTTTTTTTGGACTACAGTTCTCAGAATCTGGCAGCTAGCATAAGAACTGGAAGTGAGAGATTGGGAACTATAGTATAAACAAACAAACAAATAAGCAAACAAAAATATATATTTTGTTCTATGGAGCAAAATAAACAAAAAGGTAGGTCTCTGTCCCATGGACGTAAACTTAATCACCTGGGAAGCAGAGATGGGAAGACCAACAAGGCAATAATAATACACCATTAAAAAAAGCAGAAAAAGTTCCAAAAAATCTTGGCTGTAAATACTGTGATAGAAGTTACCAAGTCTTTCTACTGTTGCTGTTCAGTATAACATCTGAAGAGTCCGAACAGAGTTCATTTTCTATTAAGTTGCTTCACATATACAAACTCCCAGGGTTCTGAGCACAACAAGAGAACAACATTGGTTTTCCTTGGGGCAGAAAGTGTGTGGAGAGCATGCTGGTACAAGGAATATGGAATTTTTACAACAACTTCAAATGAGTTGTATGCCCTCACTGACATCAAAGGGTTGGATTCAATATAAACAAGACATGACCGAACTTAATCCAAGCTTTTAATGTCTGATAAGCTTGAACTCATGGGTTTAAAAGGTGGGCACTGCTCAACAGAAAGGAGCATGATCAAGATAGTTTCTTGAGAAATATGCTGTTCTAAAGTTATAGTCTAAAATCAAAATCCACAGTGAGAAAATACATGCATGCACAAGGAATCCTTGCATATTTCATCATTTGAATAAGCATAGTTTATATACTTACTTGAGCATCTTTGACAGTGTGCAGCGTAATGTACTGAGTGTTGGGATAGGACTCAGAAATCCTGAGTTCAAATCCGCGCTGTCTTTGGGAAACTCACTTGGGGAAGCAAATGCTAGCAATGGTAGACCACTCGTTGAATATCTCACATACCTTCAAAATCCTACTATGGTTACCACAAATAGGAAATTACTTGATGGCACATAACAATAACAAATCTCTATCGTGTGCATCAGAGTCTGGATAGTATATATAACTGAGCATTGG